ACCTGCACAGTGGCTGTCCATGGCCCAGGACGGTGGGGGAAGTTCCCGCTCTGTCTCTGTGAACCCTGGGACGCAAGCTGCCTCCCGTGTCCGCCCCGCCCCTTCCTCTGTGGCCACTTCCACAGATCTGGTCTCTTGTGATTACAATGACCAGACAGGGCCCTCCTGCCACTGGATGTGTCCTTACAGGCTCTGGCACACAGCTCTGTCTTCCAGCAGCGGCAGCTTGCCTGCTTGCTATTCAGCAGAGAGAGGAAAGGAAGCCCTCCTCCGGTGGATGGGTCAGGGACATCCTGTCCCTGGACAGAACGGCCACTGTGATTTGTCGATTGCCTTAATGTGGCATTTTACAGAACCATCTGGCAAACTTGCAGACACAGGTGGCATATCTCAGTTCCCTGGAGGGCTGGGCGCAGCCCCTGGAGGGTCTGTGACTAAATGACTGCAGCCTCCTGGAGGGCAGGGCGCCGACTCCTGCAGGCCGTGTGTGGGGCTCGCTCCACCCTGCTCCCGGGTACAGTGAAAGGCGAATGCCTGTGAGGCAGCACCAGGCGCTGCTCCTTGCCATGGCACAGGCGATGTACCATGGTGAAGAGCGGCACACCTACTTCCTGCCTCCCAGCACTGAGGAAGCACTGATCCTTACTTTAAACATATGTTTTACTTATTTATTTTTTAAAGACGGGGTCTCACTATGTTACCCAGGCTGGATTTGAACTGGCCTCAAGGGATGCTCCTGCCTCGGCCTCGCCAGTAGCTGGAACTCCAGGTGTATGCACAGCACCCGGCTCAGATCCTTACCGTTTTATCCGCATGACTTAGGCTAACATATGCCATTGCTTCACAGCTCTGTGTGTTTAAAGAAGTCCGCCTCCTGCCGTGGCACCTCATCTGCATTCCGCACTGACAGACTAAGACGTGGCTTTTTACTGGAGGCACAGAGGTTTCTCACTGCCCACATCGGCCACACAGCAGGTAGAGTCTTCGGATAAACGAGTGGGCTCAGCTCACTTATCTGCAAGCAAGCCCAACACTGCCAGCACATGTGGGGTGCAAGGGGTCCCCACAGAGAATGTAGAAACATGCAGACTTCCCCACCGCCTCACTGTGTGACCTTGAGAGATCCCTCAGCCTTGCTGTCCCAGTCCCCACCCCGGGATCACATGAAGAGCAGCACCTGCTCCCGGCTGCCTCCCAAGAATATGACGGAGATGAACTAGTCTGCTCCTCTCAGCTGTGCTCGGGCCCCGAGGGCAGGCTGCACAAGCACCATGTGAGTACAAAAAAGTCATTTCTGAAGATTCCCTTATTTAGCTGCCTTTTTATAGATCACTTCCTTGGCGGAAAGATCAGTCAAATTTTACTAGGACCAAGGCTGAGAGGCAGATCTGAGGAGGAGAAGGCTTTTACAGCACACAGGCTGAACGGACAAGAGTGAAAACAAGATACCCTGGTAAGAAAACATCTCGTGTGCCAGACTGGAAACCTGGTCATCCAGATGGGGTTTTATGGCAATACCAGAGCCAACAAACTGCAATCAATGTTCACCGAAGTCGGGGGAACGAAATCAGACCAGATAGAAGCTATACATACAGTAAAGGTGGGGTGGCATGGAGCCCTGGTTTTGTTCCAAACAGAAGAAAGTTAGGAGAAGACACACTGAGAGAGCCAGAGTTGGGTGACAAGGGCTGGCCAGGTAAGGAGAGGTTGGGTTGGGGACAGTGTCATGACCCAGAACCAGTGACTGAAGTGTCACAGGGCACCTTCCCCGGGATGGCTGCTTCTCCTTAAGGACAGCCCGTGGCTTAGCCTCTTCCTCCTCCCTTAGCGACACCTGATCTTTTCAGTCTGGATGCGTGCGCCGGATCTTTTCAGTCTGGATGCCTGCGCCCACAGTTTTGGTGTCCGGCAGCCTCCTTTTTTCAAGGGAGAAATACTGCTGAAAATGCTGGTAAGACTCCCCCAGCTGACCTCAACATCAGCTCGGCTGTTTTTTAATACCTTCCAAAAAGGTGTTCGTTTCCATTTGATTTTTTCAAATAAAAACCTCAGGAATCATTTCATCAAAGTATATAACAGAAACCCAAACTGCAGCCCCGAGGTGTGTATGTATATTGTAACCCCTCATGAAGTGATGACCCCAGTTTCTAAGCTATATTTACAGTATCATTATGTTATTTTCCTTTTTCCTTTACCTCTGTAAGTTTGTGCTTGGCTCCATCCATCTGGGTCTTGATTAGAAATCCATGCTAACCAACTTAAGGTGGATTATTGGAAATCCATCCTGACTGACAGAATAAATGAAGTCTCTTTATGTTTAGTCAGCACAACCTGCATCTTCCTTGTGCCAGCAAAGGCCTCTGAGGTTTGGGGAATTTGAAAAACTTAGGGGCTTAGCTTACAGATACAATATCCAAATGGCTCCCGTTGGAAACAGGGAGTGGATTTCCATCCCCTGTTTCTGGCAAAGTTGTCACTAGGATTTGTTAAGGGCATTTTTCTACGCAGCTTTTCTCTTCCCACCCCAAGCAGAGCAATTACCATTTACCTACACGGCCAGAGGCTCTGGCAGAGTAAAAACTGAGCTATTACAACTTGGAAGGAAAGACAAAAAGTGACAGTCAATCAGGAAGGTAGTGAAGTTCAGTGAAGTTCCCCACAAGGCAACCTTCCATCCACCATCAGCTTGGAGGCCATCCTATAAACAGGCCCGCTGGATCAAGTTAGCTGACTGAAAATACACAGTAGCCTTCCCCTCCCACCCTAAATACCCAGAAATGACAGGAAAGACATTTTTTAAAACCTCTGAGCATCTTAGAAAGGAGTGCTCTTTGTATATCAGAAACCACGCGCAATCATAACAAATGAAAGGCAGATGTTTTCTTCTTCCTGAAAAGAAAACCGCAACTCAAAATGCATGCAGAAAAATACTCTGCAAAAGGAAGAAGGGGATTCAGAGGTGCTCCAACCAGAGGTGTTGGCTACCAGAACAGGAGGGGACCAGAGGCTTGGGTCAGATACGCAGACTAGAGGGCTGTTATTAGCCAGGAGACACAGAAAGCCCAGGAGACAGCTTCTGATACGACCCAGCTGACAGCACTTTGAAGGACCTGGCTACATTTTCTGGGTGGCAGGCTGTAATAAGTAGAAGCAGAACTCTCAAACAGGACGGCTGGGCGTGGTGGCTCACGCCTGTAATCACAGCACGTTGTGAGGCTGAGGCAGGTGGATCACCTGAGGTCAGGAGTTCAAGACCAGCCTGGCCAACATGGTGAAACTCCGTCTCTATTAAAAATATAAAAAATTAGCCAGGCGTGATGGCGCGTGCCTGTAGTCCCAGCTAACTCGGGAGGCTGAGGCAGGAGAATTGCTTGAACCTGGGAGACAGAGGTTGCAGTGAGCCGAGATCACACCACTGCACTCCAGCCTGGGCGACAGAGGAAGACTCTATCTCAAGAAACAAACAACAACAACAAAAAACAAAAACAAATCTCTAACAGGTGACCTAGGAATTAAAAATACAAGAATGAACACACAAACAAGAACCACTGAATATTTAAAGAAAGCAAACACCAAGGAAGAGTCACAAAACTCAAATATGAAAAGAATTACATGTGAAGAAACAGAATTAATACAGCAGACAAAAAAGATGAAGGAATTTAAGAGCCGGGCATGGTAGTGCATGCCTGTAATCCCAACATTTTGGGAGGCCAAGACGGGAAGATCACTTGAGCCCAGGAGTTTGAGACCAGCCTGGACAACATAAGGAGACCCTGTCTCAAAAAAAAAAAAAAAACATTAGCCAGGTGTGGGGGCATACACCTGTGGTCCTAGCAATACTTGGGAGGCTGGGGTGGGAGCATCACTTGAGCCTGGGAGATTGAGGCTGCAGTGAGCTGTGATTGTGTCACTGCACTCCAGCCTGGGCAACAGAGACCCCTCTTCCCAAAAAAAAAAAAAAAAAAAAAAAATTAAGCATTATAAAAATCCTCAAAGAGATGCCTATCACTAAAAAAGAGATGACAGATTTAATCACCAAAATAAAACTCAACATATATCTCAACATATAGGTCAAACATCACAATGAACCTAACTAAAGAATAAATTAGTGAACTGGAAAACTGAGCCAAAAAATTCTCTCTCTCCAGGACGGCAACTATGCGACAGGGCAGCCACTAGCCACATGTGGCTCTTGAGCACTTGAAATGTCTGAAGTTGAGATATGCTACCAGGTTTCGAAAACTTAGTTAAAAAAAGATAAAAGATTTCATTAGTAGTGTTAGAAAATATTGACTCTATGTTAAAATAATTTAGACATACTGTGTTAAATAAAACATTACTAAAGTGAATTTCAGCTGTCTTTGTTCCTTTTAATGTGGCTACTGGGAAATTTAAAATTACATATGTGGTTCACATTACATTTCTACTGGACAATGCTGCTCTAGAACCCGGAGCCAAAGGAGTGACGGAAAGTAGGTATGAAAAGTGAAGATGCGGAAGACAGAGCTGGATGAATCAGCATCTGTTTCTCCTTGCAGAAGGAGATAAAGAACTGCGGGGCGGTGAGGGGAAAGAAACACTGAAATCATAGAGGAAAACTTCCCAGAACTAAAGAAATAGGCAAGGCTTTTTCCTGCTACCAGTGCTGAAGGAGAGGATTCCTGCTGAAGCTGGAAACAAGGTAAGAGTGCCTGTTTTCACTTCACTAGTGAACACTGTCCCGAAGTTTCTAGCCAATGCAACAATATAGCAGAAAAGGAAAGGAAGAGGCATTTTCTTATTCACAGCGATGACTGCCTAAGTGCTGTCTCTTAAGTGCTCTCTCTTCTCACTGTTTTGAAAGGCCTGGCACCAACAGGCCTTCTCCATTTCTGGCTTCCAAGACATGGGTAAAGCGGAACACATCAGCACCTTCTCCTTTCAGGAGCTGCCAAGAGAACTCAGAACAAAGCCTCCATGCCAAGGATAAACACCGGTTGGGGTGGGGAAAGGGTGCTTACCGACGGATGGCGTTGGTGAATTCCGCAGCCAGCTCACTCTCGCTGCATGTCGTCCTGAGTTCAGCTAGGGACAGAGCTGGGGAGGCAGCATCGGCACACTCCTGACAACAGCAAACACATTCCAGTTAGACCCGAATCCAAGCTGGACAGCAAGCACATTCCTGTCAGACTGGAATCCAAGCTGGCAGCACCCTGGAAACCTGTGGCAGAGCGCGGTAGGTGGCTTGTGCAATGATGGCAGCAGGGTGGGTGCCGGGTGGCACCCTCAGATCACGCTAAAGGGGAAAGCGTGGCAGCAAGCCAAACAGCCCCCTCTGCTCCCAGACCGCTGGTTCCTTTTGCAGGCTGGCCAGCGTGGTGGGGATGACACCCAGCATGCTCTGAGCGTGCACCGATGCCAGGCACTGGTCTAAGCACGCCATATGCAGTCAATCATTTAATCACCACAAATACTCTCTGAGGCAGGAACTATCATTATCTCCATTTTACCAAGGAGGAAATGAAGGCACAGGGGAGTTATGCTGCCCAGTCACCAGCTGGGAAATGGGGGAACCAGGATTCAAACCCAAGCTGTGTGGCCCCAGATCAATCTCTTGACCACTAGGTAAAGCCTCTCGTAATCATATAAGACAAGTGAGAAATAGCCGGGAATATCCCTGGTGCCCCATCCCACGTCTCCCTGGGAGAAAAGCAATCTCCTTTAGACTTAGAAGCTTTACTGGGTTCAGTGTAATAATCAAGAAAACTCAGCAGAGGAGGAGGAAAACAGAAGTGCACCCCACTCCATGGATGAGCATCAGACAGGGACCTTGACATCATCTAAAGCAAACCCTCCCACCCTGCAGATGAGGAAACTCAAGAGCCAGAGCTCCAAATCCTAGAGCTAAGACCATTCAAACAGTGACCGTGCCTGAGTGATCTACGGTCCATGCACACAGAGGGCAGCAGCCTCACTATGTAGTAACGTGGCCGGGGGAAGGCATTCATCGGACGATCTCTCAACGGACACGAGGAGCTGCTGAGCTACAGGCCTGAGAATAAACAGCTTGTGATCTGTTGCAGGAGGTGGAATGTAAACAGAATTTTTTTTTTTTTTTTAATGTGAGATGGAGTTTTGCTCTTGTTGCCCAGGCTGGAGTGCAATGGCGCGATCTCAGCTTACTGCAACTTCTGCCTCCCGGGTTCAAGCAATTCTCCCGCCTCAGCCTCCCAAGTAGCTGGGATTAAAGGCACACGCCATCACGCCCGGCTAATTTTGTATTTTTAGTAGAGACGGGGTTTCTCCATGTTGGTCAGGCTGGTCTCGAACTCCCAACCTCAAGTGATCCAGCCACCTCAGCCTCCCAAAGTGCTGGATCACACCGCACCTGGCCGTAAACAGGAAATGTTATAAGATGTGAGCTACAGAGAGGCACGGATTCAGTGCTGGAAGTCCAGGCACATGGTCTCCCCAGGCAGTTCCTTGGCAGTGGCACTGCCAACACCTGAGTGCTCTTCCCTCTGCCATGCCCTCTGCCTGGGCCGCCTTCCACCTCCTGTCTACCTACCTGTGCTCAGAGACCCAAGTCCCCTGTCCACCCTTGGAATATGTTGATATTCCCACAATATCCTCACTTTTTGTATATCCATTCCCATTTGATGTTAACATTTCATGAGACTCCTTCAAGACAGGGACTGCTCTGTCTCATCCATGGTGCCTCTCTCTGAATATACTTGGCAGTATCTGGTGCACACAGACAAGAATTTCAGAAACCTAATACAGCTTGGATAAGATTTGGAATCCAGCTGTCCTAGCTGGAGGGAAGCTTTTTAAAGAAGCATAAGCACCCACCCGGTAGAGCAAGAAAGAATGTTCGAGACCCAAATGTGGCCCACCAGCTGCTTCTGATGACCCACAGGATAAGAACGATTTTCCTGTTTTTAAACTCATATAAAAAAGTCAAAAGAAGAGTATTTTGTGACAGGTAGAAATTACATGAAATTCAAATGTCAGCATCCATACATACAGTGTTCCTAGAGGCCAGGCACGGTGGCTCACGCCTGTAATCCCAGCACTTTGGGAGGCTGAGGCGGGTGGATCACTTGAGGTCTGGAGTTTGAGACCAGCCTGACCAACATGGTGAAACCCCATCTCTACTAAAAATACAAAATTACCCAGGCAAGGTGGCACACACCTGTCCCGGATACTTGGGAGGCTGAGGCAGGAGAATCACTTGAACCCGGTAGGTGGAGGCTGTAGTGAGCCAAGATCGCACCATTGCACTCCAGTCTGGGCAACAAGAGTGAGACTCTACCTCAAAAAAAAAAAAATAAAAAAATAAAATAAAATAAAAATAAATAATTAAATAATTAAATAAAGTGTTACTAGAACACAGCCATGGCCACTGGTCTCCCTGTTGCCTCTGCTTTTGTGCTAGCATTGGACACTAGCAAAGCTGAGTGGCTGCAGCCGTACCCAAGCGACCCACAAGCCTACAACATTTACTGTGTGACCCTCCACAGAAAAGTGCTGACCCCTCCTCGAGACGCTCGCCTCATCCAGCAACAGGTGAGCCCAGAGGAGTAGCCCAGATGGGAGATTTTATTCAAACAGTAAATGGATCTAGTATTTGAAAGGCAAGATAATCAGCTCACTCTTACTTCATTACCTGAAAAACACAACGTACTCATAAAGGTTCTTACTGTAGTGTTAAAAAAAATCATCTGGCCTTTTCCATCAGAGAAATTTTCTTACTTTCTTTCTTTTTTTTTTGAGCCAGGCTGCGGTGCAGTGGCGCAATCTTGGGTCACTACAACCTCCGCCTCCCAGGTTCAAGCAGTTCTTGTGCCTCAGTCTCCCAAGTAGCTGGGATTACAGGTGCCCACCACCATGCGCAGCTAATTTTTGTATTTTTAGTAGAGATGGGGTTTCACCATGTTGGTCATGCTGGGCTTGAACTCCTGACCTCAAGTGATCCACCCGCCTCGGGCTCCCAAAGTACTGGGATTATAGGCATGAGCTGCGTCCGGCCAAATTTCCTTACTTTGAAGCCACTCCACATAACAGTGTTTCACCCAGTCAAAATAAATATGAGGAACTAGGGGAAAATGCTTAGTTCATGGGCCTTCTGGCAAGAACCTGGTAACTCCATTTCCACCACACCCTAAGAACGCACACAAACACTAATGTTCTGTCTCTTCGGCTGTGTCCCTAACTGACTGCTAGCAAACTCAAAAGGCAAAAAAAAAAGAGAGAGATTTTGAAGGTGTTTGTATGGAACAGAAAACCTCATCTTCCCGAGCCCCAGATACTTCCATGTGAACCCAGATACAGCACTGCGTGGCTGCACAGGGACTCACCTCCCCCAGCCTTGGGTAGACGGCGTCATAGTGCACTTGGCATAGTGACTTCTCTAAAGCCCAACTATCACACCACCCCTTGCTGAGGACCCTTCCATGATTCCGCACGGTCCTCAAGATAACTCCAGCCAGTGCATCAACTCCACTCCCCTCCGGGCCGTTGCACATGCTGTCCCATTAGCCTAAGGGCACCTCTTCTCTCCCCTGACGCTCCACCTGCCCCTCTTCAACAGGCTACCTCCCACTCTCCACTGGGGCTCAGCTCAGAAGTTCGTTCCTTCCAGAAAACCTGTCCTGAATCTCCAAAGTGGACATTTGTGTCTGGCTTGTGTCCTCCCATGATGCCAATAATTGATCCTTGCACTGGGGACATTCTCTCATTGCTCTGTGATCATCTGTTTGCCCACCAGTCTCCCGCTAAGAATGTTAATTCCTGGAGGACAGACTTTGCCTGTCTACCACAGAGCTGCCTCTAGCACCCTGCCTTGGTCCTGGCACGCTGTGAGTGCCAAATCGCATTTATCAACTGAATGGATAAATAAAAAGCAGCCAGGGTCTTGGGAGGGCTGGCCTGGCCGGGTGCCACAGCTGTGTCCTGCCTTGGCTCCTCAGCAAGTGGGAGGTGGGGAAAGGTGTAGCTGTGGTCATTTGTGAATCACACTTCAGAGTTCTCAACTACATAGGGAGTGACAATTCACTGTCACATGACATCAGCACTGTTCCTTCTTTCCCAGGTACACGGCTCTCCTGGAGACGATCCTGCACTTGTGCTATGAGAAGTCGCTTATTAGACTAGCAAGTTGGCATATGTCTGCGAGTCCTGGGTCTGAAACAAATGGGGGTCAAGAGAAGCTTGCATTTATTAGGAATAGAAAAATATGATGCACAGAATATAAAGGACCCTCGGACAAGGGATATAATTCTTTAGAGTCCATGGTTATTTTTTTTCCAATGTAGTATTTGGAAAATTCTGAGATACAAGATAATGGAATGAACTTGGATTCCAGAAAAAAACACCTGGGGGCTGATAAGAGAGTGAGTTTGCAAAATTCTATCACCAGACAGTCCACTTTCAGATGATGTAGACTTCGTAACCCAAGGCTTCCTTCCTCCTCCTCTGCCGGCAGGCTGCTTCCTGCTTACCACCCTGTGACGGCAGCAATGCCAGCAGGAAGGAGTCAAGGAGGAAATGCGGTGGAAGGAAGAGAGCCTGTTAGTGCATCTGGGCTAAGTCCCAATTCTGCCACTTCTCAGCTGTGAGACTCCTGACTTCTGTGAGCCTGATTTCTCTCACGTAAATGGGGATAACCTTCTTTCCTCAGACCTGTGAGGCTTAAGGGCGACAATAAATGCAACCATTGGAACAGAAGTACTGCAGCTCCCCCTTCACTGCGGTTTTGCTTTCTGAGGTTTCGGTTACTCAAGGTCAACTATGGTCTGAAAATATTCAATGGGAAATTCTAGAAATAAACAATGAGTTTTAAATTGTGCACCATTCTGAGCAGCGTGATGAAACTTTGCACTGTCCTGCGCCATCCCACCTGAGCTGCAAATCATTCCTTAGTCCAGCATAGCCACAGTGCAGACACTCCCCACCCATCTGTCATTTCGTAGCTGTCTCGGTTATCAGATCGACTGTCAGTGTCACACTGCTTGTGTTCAAGTAACCCTTATGTCATGTAGTAATAGCCCCAAAGTGCAACAGTAATGATGCTGACATATTGTTATAATTGTCCTGTTAATATTTTATTAGTTGTTATTAATCTCTTACTGTGCCTAATTTATAAATTAAACTTCATCACAGGTATGTATATATAGGGGAAAATGCAGAATATATAAGGGTTCAGTATTATCTGTGGTTTCAGGCATCCATGGGGGATTTTGGATCGCATCCCCTGTGGATAAAGGGGGCACTATTGTACCGATAAACTAACAAATGAGGGCTGCCGTGTGACAGAGGATTAGATGAAGGAGGTGAGACCAGTATCAGTGGACAGCTGCAGAGATCACCCCTCTGATGTGACTGCGATATGTGAAAAGGTTTCAACTACTATATAAAGTGAGATTTGGTATTTCTAAAATGTAGATTGGTTTCGCTACACTCAAAATGTCACCTTCTTAGATACCTACGAATGGCCTGCAGTTCCTATGCAAATACAAGAACTGAAGCAGCAGGGTGGTGAGGTGTGGCCAGTGGTCACTGGGCAGCCAGGGAGGCCTGAGCCTAAGGGTGTCCCCAGGCCACTCCGGCCCTACCTTGCTGGGTTTGTCTTTGCCACCGCTGCTAGTGGAGCTGAGGGACCGCATCCGCTGCTCCTTCTGCTCCTCCACCTCGGACTTCAGGTGCTCAATGTGCACCAGGTAGGCCTGCTCCTGGGCCTCCCGCGTGCTCAGCTTCAGCTCCAGGGCCTTCTTCTCTTTCTCCAGTAGATAGAGCTGGGCCTTCAGCTCGGCCATCTCCTCCTACAGAGCAAGGAGCACAGAGCACATGAGGCACCCACGATCTGAGAGCAGGGCTGGCTGCTGCCAAGTGGGTGGGTGGGGGTCCCCGGCTATGACCCACAGGCCCGCGGTACAGTTATCACTTTGAAGTTGGCAGTAAGATGAGTGGGAGGAGACATGGCACCTGTCACCACACTTCTGAAGGAATGATGTGTGGATAAGGCCATGCACTTTGTCAGTCTATGGACTAGACCTGAGACAAAAGGGTAGAAGTTACAGGCAAGTAGATTGTCATTCAATATAGGAAAAACCTTTCTAACAAATAGAGCCCCCACACAGGCACATGGGCCTCAATGGAAACCCATTCTCTGGTCTGCAGAGACTGGGCTGCACCTGCCAGAGGCTGTAAAGTCACCTATCCGTGGAAGACTTCTTCTGGCCGAGTCCCTTCCAATTCCCATTTTGGTTTCCACAGCACCAACCACGTATTTAACCACTCCCACGGCACCTTCGTTGCCCTGCAGCTGGGCCAGGCAGGCGGCAAATGCCTGCAGCAGCATCAACCTCTGGCTCTTGCCTACTTCTCAGGGCCCAAATGAAATCAACAGAAACAGCATCCTTCACAGGTGACTGCTCATCAGACAACTTCTAAAAGTATCCTAAGAACTCAAATGAGAGCGATGAGTGGAGAGTAAGAAGTGAATCCAAAATAGGACAGTGCCATCCTGGGACCAGGAGCCAATAACAATGGCAGCCACTAGCCTTTACTGAGCACGTGGCACTGTGCTAAGTGTTCACATGACATGGCTCATTTCATCTTCCCAACCTGGGGTAGGTATTGCGACTATCTCCATTGACAGATGGGAGTCTGAGGCACACAGAGGGAAATCCCCCTGCCCATGGCTACTGGGTAAGCTGTGGAGCCAGAGACTGCAGCTGAGCTGTCTGGCTCAGGGCTATGCCGCCTCCCTCCCTTTCAAGGTGAGCCCATGCATGATTCTTGTCCCCACACTTCTGCTGGAGGGTGACTCCACCAGCCCACGGCCACCAGGTACAGCCTTCCCAGCCCACCTTGAGACGAACTCACCTGAGGTTAGTTCAGATTCTGGCCACCCCTGAAGTGACCCTCCTGAGGTAATTAGTCCCAGGCCTGGTGCACTCTCCTGGGTAAGTTGGACTGGTGGGTAGATGTTTTCACTCTCCAGTGTGGGGAAATAGCTAGAGGGCACCCCTCAAGAGGGACGTTAGTCAATGTGCTCAGTAAACTACTCAGAACACACCAACCTTCTTTCCCCTAAATATCAGACAGAAATGCCAGAATGAAAGGTATGCCACGCCCAGAACCTTCGGATCTTTTGCCACTGGAAGCAGGATTCTGAAGGTTCCCGCAACACTGCATACTGAGCTCACGCGATGGTTGCTTCCAGAACAAACATACAAGTGCATGCTTGAAAGAAGGAAAGAGAAACCCATGGGTGCCAGAAATGAAGCGGGAACTCTGCCAGAGGGAACGGCAAGGAGGGCACACGCTGGCCAGCAAGGCGCCAGACTGTCCTTGGGCCCTCCACCTGGGGGCTTAGTGTTACCCAAGGCCAGGGCGTGGCCTCTGAGGCAGAGAGCCACAGCTCAGACCCCTACGGGCGCAGGATTCTCAATACGCTGCCCAGAATAAGACACTAGAAAACTTCCTTTCTGGAGATGTGGCAAGTAAACTTGTCATCTCTCAGGCTCTGGGTGGGAAAAGAAAAATCTCTTTCGAGGAATCAAACCTCAAGCTCGTGTCATGTGTAGGTGTGGTATAGGAATCCTGAGTCAAGAACCTAACAAAAACCAGTCCTAAACCTCAGAAACTGATGAGTCCCAACAGATCTAAACACAGAACCACTCTGTAGGGACATCTGCAACCCAGGATCCACAGGACCCCACAGAAGACGTTTCCACGGAGGATGAGCCGGTGCTTGCATTCTCTCCCCCTGCCCCCACCACTGAGGAAATGAGGATGAATCAGCGCAGATGCAAAAAGTAAGAGTCAGCATTTACAAGAAGCGGAAATAACAATGTGGAAAACTAGAAAACAAAGAGATATAGGAGTCATAATGAAGGGATAATACGTTCAAAAAGGAAGAGAAGGCCAGGCCTGGTGCCTCACACCTGTAATCCCAGCACTTTGGGAGGCTGAGGTGCGTGGATGACTTGAGCCAGGAGTTTGAGACTGGCCGGGGCAACAGAGTGAGACCCCATTTCTACCAAAAAAAAAAAACTTAAAAAATCAGCTGGGTAGGGCAGTGCATTCCTGTAGTCCCAGCTACTCGGGAGGCTGAGGCAGAAGGATCACTTCCAGCCCCAGGGCGAGGCTATAATGAGCCATGACTGCATCACTGCACTCCAGCCTGGGCAACACAGTGAGACCCTGTTTCAAAACAGCAAGCAAACAAACAACAACAAAAAGAAGAATGGACTTGAAAAGGAGCCAAGCAGATCATCTAGAAACAAAAGGTATGACAAAAACAGAAACTTGAATTTCTCAGCAATTGGATCCTAGAAAATGGTGAAAATCCAACATAACCTGCTGGATAATGGATTTGGTATGGGTAAGCACACATCCCCAAGCAGACTGCGAGAGACTCAGAGGAAAAGGAGACAACTCTGATGTTTGGCCTTCAAGAAAGTCACAGGGAACCAAGCCAGAATGCTAGTAATGGCTGCCCTGGATCATAATATTATGGATTGTTCTCCTCCCAGCTTTTCTACTTTTTTAGAAAATTTCTAAGATCAGTACACATTTTATTTTCAAGTGGCAAAGGGAGTATTAGAACTTTTATTCCAACAAAAATGTCTTTCTTGGCTAGAATACCAGTAAATTTATCACCCTACATATTGGCCAATTTTAAAAAGGAAATCCTTAGTCTTTGGCCAAAAGAAACACAATGTTTGGAATAAATGATGGAAGGGGGGCCTCAGGGCTTGTGCCACAGCGTGCAAGAGTCTGCAAAGAGGGCTCCCGGTTGGATGATGGACCCAAGGCCGGCTCATAGGCAACGAGAGGTGGAATCAGCCAAAGCAGCATGAGGATTCTCCAGAGAGAGGCCGGGATGGGAGCTGGGTGGCTGGATGAAGATGAGCCAGTTTGGAAATCACAGGGGTGGGGGTGGGAGGTGAGATTCCTGCATCTGTTACCACTGCCTAGTGTCTTCCCAAACTTCACCCAAATTCTAGCTCAAGAAGCTCCCAAGGACAGGGCTGTGCTGAGTGAGTCACCCCTGAGGATGTCAGGATGGCTGCTGCCGCCAGCTCCCCTCCACTTTACAGAGACAGTGCGACCAGGGGGTTGTTTTTCACCCTGCTGCGGACAGTACTGATCCCAAACGGAGCCATTAACTCAGCACTGCCACGACCCGCTCTGGCTTGCTAGACTCCAGTTCCTGACCGTGACCTGGCTTCTGCCAGAGAACAACCCCCTCCCATCTTCACTTCTGGGAGCCACGGGCATGGCAGAATCTGAGGCCGTGCAAATTCAGGCCTTTGCTCGCAGGAGAGTGGCATGTGGAAAGCAAGTTAGGGCTGGCAGCAGAGTCGTGTGCTGACCCTAGATCTGCAGGAGCAGCCCCAGGCAAGTTCCCACTTGTGCTGTGGTCTGAGACGCAGGGTGCAGTGACATGGAACCACGCTCCCAGCAGGCTGTTCTTCTGTTCCCACTCCACCTGTGTGCGCCGCAGTACAGTCCTGATGCTAACTACATGGAGTTCGTGCAGACCTCACAGGTCAAGGGCAGAGTCTTCCACAGGCTGCCCTCCCTTCAGATGCTGCCCCAAGTCTCCAGCAGGATGGGCCCCCGACCACTTATACTTCTGACTGCCTTGTCTACAAATTCGGGGGAACCCACAACCCCTCTGAGGGTCAGTAATTTGCTAAAACATCTTGCGGAATGAAGGAAAGCACTATCCTTATGATTATTGTTCTGTTATAAGAGGGTACAAGCAAGGCGAAGGCTGAGAGTCCCAAATGCAGATTTTCTGGGCCCTCTCCCCACTGAATCAGGGTGTGTCGCCCTCCTGGCACATCAGTGTGTTCACCATCCAGGAAGCTTCTCTGAGCTTCAGGTCCAGAGTTTTTATTAAGGCTCCATTACACAGGTATGACTGATGAAATCACTGGCCACAGGATGGAACTCAATCTCTGGCTCTCTTCCCCTCCCCGGAGGTCAGGTGGCTTAAAGTCCCAATCCTCCATCACACACCTGGTCCTTCTGGTGACCAGCCCACATTCTGAAGCTGTCTAGGGCTCACCATAAGTCACCTCATCAGCATCACAAAGACGCCCCTAGCACAGCAAGAAACTCCAAGGGTTTCTGAAACTCTGTCGCAGAACCAAGGACAAATATCAGATATGCTCTTACTTATACCAGAGCTGCCTTCTGAAAGCAGGTACCAGGTGAAGGGCTGATGCCTGGCACTCCACACCAGAAACAGGCAAAGTGGTGTCCTGCTGTAGGGATGGCAGTTTAGCCACTTCCCAGTAGGGGACACCAGCTTTCCAAGAAAGCTCCCTACTGTAGAAACGCCAGCAGGTAGACATCTCCACCAGCAGCTGAAAGGCCCAGTGTTTCAGATCCACTGAAACACTGACCTCAACAGCACTTCACTGGAGGGCACTATGGTCTGAGCAGGCTCAACATTGCACCAAAGGTACAGGATGTCAGGAAATCAGGGCTCTCGGCCAAACTCTACAACTGGACTCACCCTGTTCTCCCCCTGCCGGGAGTTAACATCAGCATCAGCAACCCAAGACATACTTCCAAGCATTCTTAAGATTAGGGGTCAATTTAGACTGACAGAGGCTCCACCCTGCAGAGGTCTGACCTGGCTTCTCTTAGATGAAGGGCTCCAAAGTTGGGCTGGGACACCCTGAGAAATCCCTTAGAATTCAACTCCCCTGTCCAGAAACACCCAGCCCAAGTGATCCCCAGACATAGTGAAACCAGCTCTGTCTACAAACAAGGATCTGGCTCTTCTCTGGGCAGAGGTGACTCAACAGGAGGGGTTGATTCCTCCTCATCTGCTGGACCTGCTTTCAGAGGTCGATTAGATTTCCTCCTGGTGGCAGCCTCATGCACGGGACCCGCCCACCACATACCTTCATGGCCATGAGTTCCTGCATCAGCACTGCGTTTTCCAGGTCCAGCCTCTGGCTGTCTCCCCGGGGCTTGACGTCATAGCTAAGAGGATCAATGTGGATGCTTTCCAGCTCCAGCATGGTCAGCTTGACCGCAGCCCTGTCATTCTTGAGCTGCTGGATATAATCCTTCAGCCTCTGCTCGTCTTCTTTAGTGAACTCAGTGTCGCAACTACTGGCTGTGGAGCTGGTTGTGCTGAAGAAGAAGAAAAAAAAAAGATCCACCACCCTGTGGTATTCCAAGTTACGGCGAATAGATCTTTTCTCCTCACTCTTCTCCACATTCCCTCTCCCCACTGTTATTTACATGGTAATCCAAAAATAAGTATGCGTCACAGCATAGGAAAATAACTTTTAGGAGAGAATTAAGTATGAAGAATGACAAATGTTTACACTCTTTGACACAACACTGTGGACTCTAGAAATGAATTTCTAAGGAATTAATTCCACAGAAGCAAAAAGATACACATACAAAGGAATGTAATCTAAAATACAGTTTAGTGAATTATCACACCTATCAAAAGGAGGGCAATCATATGGACATTACAGCGATCATTGTAATATGTGAAATTATAGTGATATTGACAATGGTGGTGATATTTTGAGGAAATAGGTTAAAAGATAATATATATGTAATAAAAAAGATATTCATGTGGTCAGAACTTAAAAAAGGGATATTTAAGGCAACAGAAGTTGAAGCACAAAACACCTATGGCGTGATCCACAGATGCATGTCACACCCTCACACGTGAGTGCAGGTATCCCAGGCTGTGGCAGCTGTCCCTGCGGAACAGCACTGAAGGGGGCTGTTTTGCTGTGATTACTTCTGTTGTTTGCAACATGTACCATGAAAAACACAGGGGTGCACAACACAGCAATAATCACTTTGGGAGTGGGGTACCCCTAGGCCTCCACAGCATAGTCTGAGAATAGTGTCCACTATAGGGACTCCGGCTGGCCCAAGGGCCCTTGGCAGCCCAAGATGAATTGTGACCGGGCAGGAAGCCCCCAGTTGAACCCCAGGCCTGTGGCGGCCCGGGAACGTTTCTAGGGGACCAAACCATCGTGAAACGGGGAGTGCCACTGGAAAACGGAGGCCACGGCTCTCAAGTGGGCTCTGGCCTTTTCCAGCAGTGGGCAGGCTGCTCCCGTGCCTCTGAATAAGGCCCACTCCACTCGGTCGAGGACTCAGGCCAGTGTGCACCAACAGCAGTTTCTCTGCACTTGCACTGGGCCTCCCTAGGCTTGACTTGTCCCTCATGGAACTGGTCTGAAGATGGCAGAGGAACAAGCAGAGGCCTACTGACCTCGCATCAAAACAGGCCAGGCTGTGTTGTCATGCCTGTTGCTACAGATTTGGAAAGTGAAGCTCACAGACATTAGTGGTCAGCCGAATCATGCGGCTGGAAAGAGGTGCAACTAGACTTGGGTGCAGCCTCATCCCACAGCCCTGTCCTTGTCCCCAGAATCCTGTAGTTAGAAGCTATGCCAGGGGCCAGGAGTGATCTCCACAGGCTGCCAGATGCCACAAATCCAGGTCTGCACTCCTCGTCTCACACTGCAAAAGGGTAACAGCCAGGACCCCAACTCAGGAGGTGTAGTCCCCACAGCCTAGACGTGAGTGAGGGCAGGCCCATTCTTGTACATGGCACATTGCTACGAAAACAAGGCTTCCGGGGAGAGAAAAGCTGAAGAGAGATGGTGGCTGGAGCCTTGCTGTTCACAGAAGGAACAGGCTACCCTAGGGCTCGGGGTAGTCTTCAAGTCAGAGAACCCCTTCTAGGATGGGAAACCCCTGAGCAACAGAAACCCTTTGGGGCTGTGTCTCACTCCCTCTGTCCCATCAGGATGGGTGGGAAGTCCCTTGGAGATAAGGTGAGCAAGATCAGCCTGACCATTCAACACCACCTCTTCAGAGGCTGTGCCCGGTAAGTTTCCATGTCAGCTGGGCTGGGCTCTGTGCACAGTTGCTTGGTCAACCACTAGGTTAGGCGTTGCTGTGAAGGTGTTTGTTACATGTGATTACCATTAAAATCAAGACACTGCAGGGTGACTGTTTCCATGTGGTGAGGGAACCTCATCTAATCAGAGAGGCCTTAAGGGAAAAGAAAGATCCCCCAAAAGCGAAGAAATTCTTCCTCCAGATAGCTTTCAGACTCCAGACAGCTTTCAGACTCAAGACTGCAACATCAACTCTTCCCTGGGTCTCTAGCCTGAGTTGCAGACTTCAGATTTGCCAGCTCCATTATCAAATGGGCCAATTCCTTAAAATAAATCACTGTTTGTGATTTACTAGATATCTATATCAAGAGATCGATCTTGATCTCTCTCTTTATATCTAGGTATAGATCTCTCCATATAGATCCATCTCCCATTGGTTCTGATTTATGTGCTATCTTTATGTGTGACCCACGTGTCTTATATACTTGGAATATTCCCTGTCTTCTCATCTCTAAAATGAAGGTAATCATAGTATATGCTTCATAAAGTCAGGGTAAGGAATAAATGAGGTAAACTTAGAAGTGTTTGTAATAGCAAAGACATGGAATCAACCTAAATGCCCATCAGTGGTAGGCTGGATAAAGAAAATGTGGCACATATATACTATGAATACTATGTAGCCATAAAAAAAGAATGAGGTCATGTCATTTGCAGAAACATGAATGAAGCTGGAGGCCATTATCCTTAGCAAACTAACGTGGAAACGGAAAACCAAATACACATGTTCTTACTTATAAGTGGGAGCCAAATGATGAGAACACAAGAACACATAGAGGGGAACAACAAACAATGGGCCTACTTGAGGGTACAGAATAGGAGGAGGGAGAGGACTGGAAAAAATAACTAATGTGTACTAGGCTTAATACCTGGGTGATAAAATAATGTATACAACAAACCTCCATGACAGAGTTTACTCGTGTAACAACCCTGCATATGTACCCCTGAACTTCAAAGTTAAAAAAAATTAGAAGTGTTTAGAACAGTGCCCAGTGCATAGTAAGCACTCAATAAACACAGAAGCTATCATTCATCTGTTCAAGAAATATTGGAGTGCCAACTATGGGGTCCTGGAAAAATCCCTGCCCTCAAGGAACTCACATTCTAATAGAGGAGGCCGAGAAGTGAAATACACAGTCCATGAAAGGGTGAAAAATGAAGCAGGGAAGAGGTGTGGGGAGTGCAGAGCGAGCATGGGTTATTATTTGTGATTGAGCTGCAGGGAAGGCCTGCGTGATCCAGTGACATTAGGGTGGACCTAAGGGAGGCGAGAGAGGGAGCTACGTGGATGTTTGCAGGACACAGTAAATGCAAAGGCTCTAGGTGGGGAGTGCAGCCAGCAGAATGAGATGGTGGCTGAAGCACAGTCAGGCAGGGGAGAGAAAGGAGGAGATGTGGTCAGAGATGGAGTGCGTGGCAGGGACCAGGTGCCAGGTCATACAGTGTTTTATAAGGGCTGTGTCTTTTTCTCTAGGATTAGGATGGAGGCCATTGGGGGTTTTAACAGGGAGGGATGTGATCTGCCTTATTGTTATAACAGGATCCCTTCTGGCCTCTAGGGTGAGGAGAGATGCAGGTAGGCCAGGGCAGAGGCAGGGGTGCACCTCGGGAGCTACAGCAACAATTCCAGGGAGAGATGCTAGCAGCTTGCAGCAAGGTGGGTGCAGGGAAGGCAGGGAGAAGGATAAAAATGACTACTGATCATCAGCATTACGTTTTCTCAAGCTATATTTTAAAAAGGATGAGGGGGAGAAGCAGCAACATCCTGCAGCTGCAACATTTCACAGACTATTCCACAGTGAAACGAGGCAGCTCAAGGGAAGTGCAAAGACAGCAAACCGCGCCCACAGCAGAGGGCACTGAGGAGCTGGGCTGCGCATCGCAGGACCCATCCAAAGGACTCTCGGCATCTCAGCGAAGGCCTGTCTGCCTGCAACCGGCTCAGCGGCAGGCACGCCTCGCACAAAACCCCCAAGCAGAGTTCGGGAGCTCACCTTCACAGATCGTCAACACTGATGTGGAGGGACAGGCATCTAATGTTCCACAGGTGAACGAGTGACAAAATTAGAGCAAACTCAAGTACTGGCACTGTTTGCAAAGCATTCCACAGACAGGGCTGAGGGTGGAGATGTGCTCACAGCCTCGGCATGTTTAGACAGCATGGCGCTGGCAGACAGCAGCGCTTCTCTTCCAGTTACTTGGGAGGTTTCAGGAATGAAATCCTTCCTTGTAAAGCTGGGACACAGGGCGTGGGGTTTACTTACACCTCTAGTCTTTCCTTTCATTAAAAATTATTTTGAAAAATTTCAAACCTGTAGAAAAACACAGAATAACTAACACCTGTGTGTTTACCACCCACAAGACATTGTGGTATATTTTCTTCAGACTACTTTTTGGGAAATATAAATTTATACCCAAAACACCTTTTGTGGACTTTCATTTAAAATAAAAATCACAAAATTCAAAGAGCAGTAAAAGCCAGCATTCTCTAATTACCCTGCAGGAACTGAAGTGATAATATTTTGGCAGATTTTCCATTTAGCAGGACTGGTCTACCCCAGCAGTTCTCCAAGAGGGGTCCTGGGCTGGCCGCACCAGCAGCACCTGGGGACTTGCTAGAAATGCACATTCTGGGGCCCGCTGTCAAGACCTCCAGAGTCATTGACTGGACTCTGAGGTCCAGCAATCTGTGTTTTCACATATCCTCTAGGCAGCTCTGATGCACGCTCAGGTGTGAGAAGCACTGGTCCCCCCCTCAGGCTAAGGGGGCATTTGTTCAGTAGCCTGTGAGGTGACTGGATGCGCCCAGGTTTTCTAGGTAGAGGCGACGATGCTCCTGGCTGCCCTGGTGGCTGTCAGGGTCTACGAGCAGGTCTCTGATGTCAGTCAGATCTGGATAAATGTTCCTCCTCTGCCACTTACTTGCTTTATGGCCCAGAGTAAATTACCCAATGTTTCTGGGCTGCAGCAAATAGGAATACTAAGGGTTCCTGCCTCACTAAGTTGTAGAAAGGATATGGCAGGCCCTGAAGCAGGCAGCTGGTGCTGCCACACAGTACCTGTCCTGTGGGAGGAGGAGGGACGGGTGGCCACTTTCCTGATGGCTTTGCCAACAGTCCCACAACACCTAACACCCCCAACACCAGACTCAGAGATCCCCTAAGCTGTCGGCCGTTTGCAGGCCATCCAGAATCTCTC